ATTGAAATTTGATTATGTTAGAACAAGAAAAAGTAGCTCGCGCGAGCTCATGTAACATAAATGTTGAAAAACCATTGGTTTTGTGGGATTCGGACAGCGCGCGCGGAAGGACATTTTGACAATTTTTTCTTAAAAAACCATTGGGTTTTTGATGTTTTTATGTTAAAATCGCTACGAAACCTAAGGTTTTGGAAGGATTTCGTCTTGCGCGCACGAATGTCCACTTTACCTTATTTTTTGCAAGGGATTCTTGCAATTTGATCAAGTAAGAACAAGAATTTTCATTTTATAGTGTTTTTTGCAAGGGAAAACGGAGTACAACAAAACAACCGGATCCGGTACTAATCCACTTTTCTGAAGCTTTCGCGAAAAAATGATGAAAATGTAGCTGCGGCCTAGGTTTTGGAGGGGGGTCGCGCACCAGGGGTCCCAACAATAATTATTCTTAAGAAGAAATAATGTTCAACAACCAACAACAACAACAACAACAACAACAACAACAACAACACCAACAACAACAACAGCAACAACAGCAGCAACATCAAGAATCCGCATCGCAGAATTCCATTTCAGCCACGCACCCAGGGACAGTGAATGACCGTTCGGCTCAGCCCCCTCCCCCACTCTGACCATTACCCGTAGGCGGCCCACGCTGCATCCGGATGTTATTGCTCATGTCATCCATCCTCCCAGCCCCGTCCTCCCAGCCCGGTCATTGCTTTCCTCGCCCTTGCTCGCGCCGCTGCCGATTGCAGGGGGGAGGAGGAGGAGGAGGAGGAGGAGGAGGAGGAGGAGGAGGAGGAGGAGGAGGAGAGAGGAGGAGGAGGAGGGGTAGAAGGAGGAGCAGGAGGAGGAGGAGGGGGGCTCGGAGGGGGAGGGAGGAGGAGGAGGAGGAGCAGGAGGAGGAGGAGGGGAGCCCTGCCCGCCCCCGAGAGGACTGCTCCGCGGGCCGCGGCTCCGCCAGCGCCGCCACCACGCGGCCCACGACCGAGGCCTCGCGCCTGGCGGCGAGCCCCTGGAGCCCCCTGCCGCAAGAGGGCGCCCAGACGCCCGGCGCGGGCCGCGTGTGGGAGGAGCCACGGATCGGCGGCCAGCCCCTCCTCCTCCTCCTCCACCTCCTCCTCCTCATCCTCCTCCTCCTCATCATCATTCCCCTCTATATCTCCCTCCTTCCCTTCGATATCATCCTCGTCCTCTTCCTTTCTTCTTCCTCCTCCTCCTCCTCCTCCTCCTCTTCCTCCTGCTCCTCTTCCTCGTCGTCGTCCTCCTGCTCCTCCTTCTCCTCCTCCTCCTGCCTCCTTCTCCTCCTCCTCCTCCTCATCCTCCTCCTCTCCTGCTCCCTCCTCCTCCTCCTCCTCCTCCTCCTGTTCCTCCTCCTCCTCCTCCTTTTCCTCCCCCTTCTCCTCTTCTTCCTCCTCCTCCTGCTCTTCCCCCTCCTCATTTCCCTCAATATCCTCCTTCCCCTCAGTATCCTCCTCCTTCTCCTTTTCCTCCTCCGCCTCCTCCTCATCCTGATCATCATCATCCTCCGCCTCCTGCTTCTGCTCCTTCTCCTCCTCATCCTGCTCCTCCTCCTCCTCCTCCTTCTCCTTCCCCTCATCGTCCCCCTGCCCCTCAATGTCCTCCATCTCCTCCGCCTCCTCCTCCTCCTGCTCCTCCTCCTCCTCCTCCTCAGTCTTCCCCCCCGCCTCGGGACGCCCTCCGCCACGGACTGGCGGGGAGGAGCCACGGATCGTGTGGAAAGCGAGAGGAGGGGGTGGGCTTTTGGGAAAGCGACTGGGCTTCTCAGGAGAGCCCTTGCGCTTGCCATGCTCTCTTAGCCCTCTCGAGACAGGTGATGGGCCTGTTTTCTACCACCGCCACCACCACCACCATACATTGGAGGGGGAGGGGGTCCTCCTCCTCCTCCTCCTCCTCCTCCTCCTCCTCCTCCTCCTCCTCCTCCTCCTCCACCTCTTCCTCCTCGTCCTCCTCCTCCTCCTCCTCCTCCTCCTCCTCCTCCTCCTCCTCCTCCTCCTCCTCCTCCTCCTCCTCTTCGTCCTCCTCCACCTCCTCCTCCTCCTCCTCATCCCCCTCTTCAACTTATGGTGGTTATGGTGGAAAACAGGCCCACCACAGAAGGCCCGAGGGCATCTGAGAAGCCCCGGCGCCTTCTGGGAAGGACTGCCCCCTTTCACTGCCCCCCTGGGCCCGCCGCCGGACGGAGAGGACGAGGGAGTCGAGGAGACGGTGCGATCGGTATTTGTACGGAACGAGCGGTAACGAAGCCCGACAGCAATTCCGGTCCATCTTGAGCAGGAATCGTTGTCGATGCCGCCGCGGACATGGTCCATTCGAGACACAGTGTCGCCTGCCCAACAGCGGCCGCGGCGCAGGTTTTGGACAACATGTGTTGTTGAACATCGTGCCCATCTTTCTCCGTACCCATTCAGGGCGTCCGAAAGGATCGAGGGTCGAGGTTTCTTGACACTGTTTCACTCCTTGTGGGCTTTGGGAAGGGGGGCTGATCGTCGCCACCGCCGGGTCCTCAGGGCCTTCCCAGTTTCCAAACTCCCAGTGCCCCCGGTGCCGGGCCAGAGAGCCTCGCGACCCCGAATTGTGAGGGGTGTCCCGCAAGGGCGGCACAGAAGCAGATCCCATCCCCAAGTGGCCTCGGGAGGCCAGGTGGGAGCGGGGGGTGTTCTCTTGGTGACCGTTCTTGTTCCCTTCCCGAGTAGCGGTCGATACCCGGGGGGGAGGCTGGAGGGTAACAGTAATCGCGGCCGCGGCGTCCAGCCACCAGCGTGCGTCCGCGCCGCGCCACCGGCGCATCAGTCGCTTGCGTGCAGTCCCCCCAGCACGATCGTTAACGTTACCGCGGGGGGGTGAGCAGGCGTTACCCCGGGGAGGAAACAACAACAAACTCTTGCTCTCCTGAAGAGTCGAGTAGGGGATCGACTGCAGAATTGATTGTGCCCCAATCTTTCGTTTTCTGTCTGGTCGAATCTACGAAGAGATACGTAGCAGGTTGGCAGGGGCCGCCCCTGGGGGGCCCAGCACAGATCCCATTAATCCGCGCGAAGCGCCAAACTGTTATGTTTATGGCGTTTTCTTCTTCTATTGCGAAGGCCTTACGGCCGGTGCCGCCGACCCTGAAGACGAAGCTGTCTGTGACGCCGTGAAGGCCGAAACGTCGTATATGCTAGAAATGTAAGTTCCCGATGGGAAAGTAATGAGTGTGGCCTCTTGGGCCCTTTTTGGGGGTGCTCTTGGAGGGGGCCTGGGACGTCTTGGAGGCTTCTTGGACGGTCTTGGGGCTATCTTGGGCGTCTTCGGCCGATCATTGGGCGACTCGGGGCACTCTTGGGCGGTCTCGGGGGCCATCTTGGGCAGTCGGACCTCATTTGGAGTGTTTTCGAGGTTTCGAGGCCGCCCGAGGAAAAACGAATCTGCCCCCCCACCCCCCCCCTCCACCCCCCCCGGGACCCCCCCACCCCCCCGGGAAGGGATCAAAGGGAAGGGGCTTCCCTTCGAATCGACAACGGCATGACGGCAGGAGGGTACGGCCCAAAAAGAAAAAAGGGGGAAGGAAGAAGGGGGGCGGCGAGGAACGGACGAGGAAGCCCCTCGCACACGCCGACAGGGTCGGCGGATTTCTTCGGTGCCAATCATGGAAGCCTGGTGTGCCATCGCATTTCCGTCTTCAGCGCCGACTAGCGTCGATTAGAGTCTGTGAGTCGACGAGCTAGCGCCGAATGAGCGTGCATTCAGAGTCGAGGAGCGTCGACCTGGCGTCGATTGGCGACGATCCGCAAGAACCGACAAAATAGCATGGAAGGCTCCCCTGACTTGCCGCCCGCAGTCTATGGCCATGCAGCTTTTTTCTGGAGCGGACCGGGTCCTGGAGGACTGGAGGATTGTCATCGTCTCCGGCTCCTATCATAGGGCCCTTCCAGGGCTTTTGGGGCCTCGCCCAAGACGAAGGGCTCGGGATGAGGAGCGGGTCTCGGGGGGAGCCCGCTGGGACAGGGCCCAGCTCTCTCCGGGTCTGAAACGTTTGCGTTGCACCTTCGGGGGGCCTCGCTTGTCCCCGGAATCGGTGTCTCCCCTTGTGCCAGACATGGGCTCGATGCGGACTCGATGCGGATTTGGCGTGGCTCCGACGCGGATCCGACACGGACCCGACGAGGCCGGCATGGTTTCGTCACCGACTCGACGCGGAGAGGGGCCGAGAGGGGACAGGCAGGGTCCCCTCGAGGATGCAACACAACCCTCGGGTAGGCAAGGAGAAAGTGACTGATGCAGTAGGGGGTCGTGCAGAAGAAGCCGCTTGAGCCAAAATGGTTTCGACGACGACAACGCCATCGCCGCCGCCGACGACGACAACGACGACGTTGACGACGACGACGGCGACGGCGGCCGACGATGACTCACGGCCCAGCTCTCCCCCGGCCAAGAAGATCCAAGCAGTGATTGAGGGGCGCGCGGGTTCGGGACGGGCGTCGCTTCCGTGCGAGAGCGGCGCGCTCCGTCGCCGAGTCGGGCGGCCTGGGCTCCGTGTCTCGGGGGTTGACGCTCCCCCCCCCCCCCGATCAGCAGATCTGGCTGAAGGGGGGGCCCTGGAACACGACACACACACACAAAGAAATACACACAAGCAACAGGAGGACCCCTATATGTGCCCATCCTTTCTGGGTCGTTGTCCTCCCCCCCGTTTCCCGTATCTTCCCACACTTTTGTCTGGGGGAATCGGCGATGAATTGTTCCTGTGTGTCTTTGTCTCCCCTCCTGGCTGGCGCCCGCGCGCCGGATCCACGGATCCCTATCATCCATGATTCAAGAGGGGGAAAAACACACAGACACAACGCATCGTCGATTCCCCAGAAGATCTGGGAAAATATGGGAAGTGGGGGGAAGACGAACCCCCTCAAAAAATACGGGGAATGGGGGGAATCGTTTCACTGTGTGCAGTTATTTCTGTGTCCTGGGGCCCCTTCAAAATGATAACCGGTGCCCGACCCATGACCTCCTGGCTCCTGCCCGAGGAGCACGCGGAGGCACTGGACGAGCCGCTCGTCGTCGCCGAGGACGACGCGCACGCCCATGCTGCGATGGCAGCTGGTGCCGCTTGGCTTCCGCCATCCCGTCCCAGACATCCGCCGACCGAAGTATCGGGACGGCCTATGATGTTCCAACCTGCTTGAGCCCTCATCACCAGCAAAAAATTCGAGCGCACCCCAAAACTCGATGGTTTTCACGCGTCGGGCCCTGGGAGACGCTGTTTCGACACTCCTTCGACACTTTTCTGGGAGCTCGTCCTGAAGTACGATGGGAGCAACATACGGGACGGCTGTTCTTTCGAGGGAAGAAGCACGACGACCATGGCCAATCTGTCGCGGGATCTTGTCGACGCCGATCTTGGTCATGCTGCATGCCGGTCGTCGCCGATTTCGAAGGATGGTCCACGAGTTGACGATGACCAAGATGGATGCTGACCAAGATCGACACCGACGTCTCCGCGATCAGTCTTGGTCAGGGCCCTTGTTTTGTTTCCCTCTGTTTTTTTCTGCGTTCTTCTGGGGCCCAGGGCCGTCCGTCATCAGAAATGGCTCAGGACGAGAAGCCAGACCTCCGGAAGGGGTCGAGGGTCGAGAGGTCTGGGGACTGGGGGCCCGTATCTCGGATAAGTCGAGCCGTCGGATGTCTGGGTCTGTTGCGGCGGAATGCTCAGGGGGGGGGGTCACCGTCATTCCCCGTCGAGCAATGATACACCTTTGACTTGCATATGTGTTTCCGCACGTGCCCTCCACACTCTCTGCAGTCTCCGACAACTTGTGTGTTTGTGTTCCCGAGGTGCCGCCGGCCTGGCGCGGGCAGAAAGTGGCCGCTTTCAGCGCTCCGCGGGGGGCGGCGACAGGGCATCCCTGCTCTTGGACGCCCCGGAGTCGTGCGCGCTGCCTGCACGAGCCAGCGTCAGCGCGCACCTGGTATGGCCCGTGGCCTCGAAGATGATGGCGAGCTCTGCCTCTCCAAGCAGGTCTGCGCGCTTGAGCATGGTGGACAGCATACCCACTCCAAACAGCGCGCTGCAGGCCACGTCCGCGGAGCCGGTGGCGCAAGAGCCTCTCGCGATGGAGTCGTTGGCCTTGCGCTCCTCGCTCTGGCCGCAGGGGTCCGAAATCGGGTCGCTGGGGTGGCTAGAGCAGCTCAGCGGCGCGTCGCCTGCCACGAACAGCGGGGCACTGGCGGCGTTGTACAACGGTCGTCCGAGCTGGCGCGAGCGCAGCCACAGAGGCCCCCCAGGACCCACGTCCACGCTGGAGGCGATCTACTTCGAGGGCGCAGCCAGGAGGGTGCGCGCCGACGGCTCGGCGACCAGCCCACTCCCGCGCCCGCCGCCCGGCCTGCGGCGCGACCTCCTGCCGCGCCCGGGCACTGGCGCGGGGCCCTGGCGCCGCTCGGCGCAGCGCTGCCGCACCGCCACGGGCCTGCCCGCCGCCGCCGCCAGCCTGGCCCCGCTCGCGTCGCTCTCCGCCGAGCCCGGCCCCGCGGCCTCGGCGCCCGCCTGCACGGCCGCCGCGGACGGCGGCAGGCCCACCACGGCGCCGGCGTGGCTGGACGCGCCCGGGGCGGCCGGCCCCAGGCCGCGGGGCAGCCGCAGCGCGGCGCGCCCGCGGGCGGCGCCGCGCGGGCCGCGGGCGACGGCCGCGCCGGCGGAGCCTCCGCGGCAGGCTCCGGGCGACCCCGCGGGAGGGCCCGGCAGCGACCAGCCGCAGGCGCGGGGCGCGGAGCAGGGGCGCCCCCCGCGGCGGGCGGCCAACGCGTCCTGCCCCTTCTCGCACGCCGCCGTGGGCGCCGCGAGCGCCGTGGAGCTGCGCTGCGGCCACTGCTTCGCGCTCTCCCACCTCCGCGCCGCGCGCGAGGCGGCGCGGCTCTGCGTGGGCGCCGGGCTGTCCGCCGAATGCCACGGGGAGGCGCTGATCTGTCCCCTGTGCGGGGACCAGGCCGGATCGGCCCTCCTCGGCGCTCGCGGGGGCGTGCTCACCGCGTACTCGGCAGACAAGGATCGGGGCGGCGAGAAGAGTATCCACCCTGAGGTCTTGGCGTCTCCATTTCTTTGAGCCGGGCGTTTCCCTTTTTCTCTGGGCCCCAGAACCCTCACAAATCGATACAGCTCGACAGACGGCGCAGAAAGCTGTGGTTCAAGGCTCTGGGCGTGATGTCATACGACGTCGCAACTTTTCCGCTACGTCGGATCTCGGGAAAAGGCACGCTGCGGGATGAGGAGGAGGAGGAGGAGGAGGAGGAGGAGGAGGAGGCCCGTCAGCGTGTTGCCCCTTCGCTTCTGTCTGGGGGCCCGCCTCCCCTTCCGCATCAGCACAGCACGCCAGTGGGTCCCGCGCGGCGGCGGGTAGTGGATGCGGCGCCTGCGCCTCTCCCAAGGAGGCCTACCTGGGCGAAGCCCGGAAGGACTGGCAAGCGCCGCTGGAGCTGCCCCACACCAGCGAAGGATCACCGGTGAATGCAATCAGAATGTTGGCGGCGCGCAGAGGGGGGTAAGGGGGAGGGGGAAGGTTTCTTAGAAGCACCCCTGCCTCTCAGGAGGCGCCGGCCTTGTCTGCAAATGTAAGGCCCGCGGCTTCTAAGAAGCAGCCTCATTCTAAGAAGCCTGCCCCCGTCCCTCCACCCCTGGTGCGCGCGGCCAAAGCTGCCCCACACCAGCGAAGGATCACCGGTGAATGCAATCATAGAGTCAAGTGGGGCCTGTCCCTCTACAGGGGGAATATTCAAAAATAGTCACAAAATGATCAGGGGACAATTTTTGGAGTATTGCTGGGCATCTTCTGCACGTTTTTTTCATATTTTTATTTTCCGTCCATAATCCCCCTGTAGGGGGACAGTCCCGACCTAAGCCTAACCTTCATGGCACAGTGGCGCGTGGCCTCGCTGAGGGCCCCGTCGATGCACTAGGGATTCATGCTCCTGAGCGATTTGGTTTTCGATTTGCAAGAACAACAAGCCCCCATCCCTGATGTTTTGGCCCTCCTGACTTAGGTCCCCTCCCAAAGCGTTAAGCCCTTTTGACGTTGAGTCATAAAAGGGGGTGTTCTCGAGGGACTTGGGGTCCTGAGGCTTTTCGCCGTGTTCGGCCTCGCGGGGCTCATCTGCCGGGCCCCAGGATCGTCGCAGAAAAGTTGTTCTTGGTCGCCCCCCCAATGTCCAGGACCCGTTTCCCTCAAGACCACATTCTTTTTTGGCAAGGAGGGCCGGTGGCCATTGCAATCCACAGCCCGCTGCAGCCTGGCGGTCGTAGCGTTGAGCAGAGGGAGTGAGGCACATTAGTATTTGCGCCTGTCTTCTTTTTCCGCGCTGTCGCCATGATTCTCTTCCTTCTGCGCGGTCCTCCTCCTCCTCCTCCTCCTCGCCCTCGCCCAGTCTCTAGGTCCCGCCTCAGCGCCAGGGGCGCTTTTTCCCGCCATTTAGGCTCCCCTCGTCTTGACGAACTTCTTTGGCTACCCTGGCTCCTGCACCTCCTCCCAGGAGCACGGCTCGCGCCCTCCCGTCCAGCGGCGAAACTGGAGCCGCCGGGCCAAGGGCGCCGTGGCCGCCGCGTGCAAACAACACAAGTCGACGGCGATTCGGTCCCGTGCCTCCGACGTCGTGAGCTGTGCTATTTCCCTGTGCTACTGAGGAGTTCTGTCGGCTTCCAGCGGGTGATTTCGGACCACGAGGCAATGAAAGGGTGTCCTGGGATGAAGAAGTGACACGGGCGAAGGGGTCGTGAGATCTGAGCCCCCCCGCCGCATTTTGGACAAACAAAACAAAATTCATGTTTCGCATCTGATGTCTGCGGCATACTTCGGCTGGCAAATTTCCAGCTCGGATCGGACGTGTTGCGTGTCGTAGTGACGAGTATGAGCAGATGTCTCCCCAAAATTGGTTTCCCGCGTGTGCATCTCGGGGATGCACAGAGCCTGCACGAAAGTCTTTGACACAACGCTTCCCGCTGCTTTCCTCCTCTTCGGCGTCGTCGTCATCAATGTCCCCATCACTCTTGTCAAATCCCGACGTGGTAGTTACTCCTAGCGGTGCCTTTCCGAAGCCTTCTGCACGCCAAGAGATAACCAATATTCCGGCGGACAAATCGATATCCGAGGATCGAGAATTTAGTGTGTGTTGATCACGCGGTCGGCGATTACAGGTCGCAGTGATCGGGGGATCACGTGATCGCCAATCACGTGATCGGTTCGACTTGATCACGCGATCGTCCGAGCTGGAATGCGTGATGGGTCCGTGATCGGCGCGATCGGCATCGCGATCAGGGCTGCGATTGGATCACGCGAGCGGGTGGCGTGATCGGCCGACTGATCAGCCAGCCACCGAGACCGAGGAGGCCCGAGGATGAGACTCGCAAGGGTCTCATGCGCTCTGTGCGTCCGGGCTCGCCTGGAGTCGGGCAGGTCCCTCTACGGGAGGCACGCTCCAGAGTGGTACAAGGAAACCAGTCCGGGGACGAGCCGTCTCTTCTGCTTGGTTTGCCTGTGGCTGCTTCCTCTCTGACTGGCTGCTCTGCTTCCTCCAACGTCCGCCTGCATAGGAGGACACGCCCGACCTGCGCGCTCGCCCCCCCGCGGCTCGGGCGGCGCGCGCGCGCACGCACGCGCGCGGCCCCCCGGGTCGCCCCGTGCGCCCCGGGGCCGCCTTTGTGTGAGAGAGCTGCCCAAGGAGTGCCCCGGCACGCACCCGGCAGCGGGGGCTCGGGAGCCTCGAGAGGGAGGTCAATGCAAACGGGGGTCCGCCGCGGCGTCAGATCTTGTAGGATCCTGCAGAGCCAGGGGTGCATTGACCCGGGCTTGGGTGCAGGATCCTGCAGGATCTTGCAGGATCCTTCGCGTTGGCCCAGGTTCGGGTGCAGGATCTTGCAGGATTTTGCAGTCCTGACTGACCCGGGTCTGAATTGACCTGGGTCGGGAGATCCCAGAGGCCCCGAGGGGCGTGCCAGACGGGGCCCTGCCCTCAA